GGTTGCTTAGGAGTGAAAAAATACACTCGTTTTTGTGCATCTATTATCATCTGTTGCTCTTGCCCATATGAATTGTTTCTATGATTATTAAAGGTTGCTACAGCTATGCTTCATCAATAACAACTGGTATTTTTTAAAGCCATGGGGTACGTAGATACCCAAGATTCCTTCTAAGTCACAGAAAACAAAGAATTTCTATCGAAACAGTGCCAGTAAACAGCAGTCGTTGGTTGCACTAAAGAATCTGCGAAATCCAGAGCGGGGGGTGTGGTATGTATGAGGGAATATCTTTGGATTCCAACATTCCAGGGATTCAAGAACTGTAGGGGATGTAGGTAAAATCGAGAGATATTTTTATGGTTTTATTGGCGAGCACATCACGCACTTATGCTACCCGAAGAGTAAAGCTCAGATATACAGGCAAAATAACGGGCAGTGATGTGCATATGTAGATACACAAATATACAATCAAACAGATAATCATACATGCATTCATCACTTACATTCATGTGTCCATTTATTTCTTAGAAAATCATTTCAAGAGATACAATCCAAAACCTCTGCTACTCCCTTCCCGTAAATTTTCAATCAATATGGATTCAATGGCTGTTTCCTTTTCCGTAAACTCTCTCTCTCAAAACAATTTTGTTGGCTGACTTCCTATTCCTTCTGCATGGCATTTTCAAAACATATCCCTCATAAATAACGTCCATAAAACAAAATCTCGCATAGCAGTTCATGTTAATATATGTACCTTCCGACGATGTTCCATTTCCAACCCTTGGTAAAGAGTTACTAACCAAAACGCATAGGCCACCCCTTCCTCATTCTCTCCCTCCCCTTTCCCTTCCTTTTATATATCTTCCTTCTTCCTATCCTTAGTCCCTTGATCCTCCAATGATCGCGAGGATGTACATGAAGAGGTTGATGATGTCGAGGTACAGGTTGAGGGCCGCGAACACGTACTCCTCCGGGGAATAGGCGAATTTGTGGTTCCCTCCGATGATGAGCTGGGTATCGAACACCAGATAGAAGCTGAAGAGGAGGACCCCGAGGCAAGCGTACACCATGTTGACGATCTTGTTGGACCAAATGCCTGCTAAGATGCCGAATATCAGGAGGACGGTCAGGCTGACGAGGAGAAAGCCGCCCATCATTGTGAAGTCATATTTGGTCTGTTGGAAGAGACAGAAAATTAGATAGAGTTAGGAAGAGAAAGAGATGGGGAAGGAGAGGGAGAGAGAAGGGGAGAGGGGATAGAGAGAGGAAGAGAGACAGACAGCGAGAGAGAATCATTTGTATGATTCTATAAAGGTAAAAAGGGCACTAGATAGTACTACGAGACTAAATCATAGGTGTCAAGCCTATGACTCGCGGATCAAATGTGGCCCTCACGATGGACATAAGTGGCCACGGGGTCACAAGAAGAATTATTTGTCTGTAAAATCATGATCGCCAAGCAATGTATTATAAATTATGAATAATGTGTTGTATAAAGAGGTTTATTAAGAAGAGAGTGAACATAACCAACATGCAGTAAGTCTTACGCTTTTGTAACGTAAACCACCTCTTTTTTTCAAGACAAATGAAGTCTCCCCCATTTTCTTCCCTCCTTTCTCCCCTATTCTTTCACCTACCCTTTTGTTTTCTACCTCACTCTCGCTTTCCCCTTCTTTTCAGTTCTCTTCTATCTTCCACTCCTTCCTACCCTTCCCCACCTTTCTCCTCCTTTTCACCACCTTTCCTACCCTCTTTGCTTTCCTTCTATCTTGCTCTACGCCATTCTCTCCTTTTCTTCCCTCCCATCTTTCTCACCGCCCTTCCTTACCTCTTTCCTTCCCGTCCATCGTCTCAACTAAAGAGAGAAACGTGTAATTCTTGAAATCCCCTTCTCCTTTCACCCACCTCCCTCCCTCCCTCCCTCCATTACTCTCCTTCGTTCCCTTCTTCCTTCCCTCCATTTCCCTCCACCGCCAGCCCCTCACCTGGAAAGCGAAGAGCGTGAGCACCAGCGTCACCACCGCCGTGGACACAATAGCGATGGCGACCTCCGTTCCTTCGTAAGACGCACTGACAACCCCGAGCAAGTACGCCTCGCAGATGGTGAACACGAACAGCGCTATGTAGTTGTACGGCGACTTCCTCCTCAGGTTGCCACAGCAGGAGAGGGCGATCACCATGGTTAACGTCAGGCCTATGGCGACCCAGAGCATCCACTGGTTGTTTAAAGCGTATTGGCCGACGTCGGGAACCCACACGAAGATGGCCACCAGACCAAAGGTGATCAGGAGTTGCGTGCACAAGATGGCGTACACTTTCCTGTTGGTTTATTCATTTTATAAGACATTAAATGATTTTTGTTTATCTTGCGTATTTTTATCCATCATCATGAATTCCTCAGCAGATAAAGTATTCCACATTCGAAGGGGAAAAGAAATAAGGAAAAGGAATAGTGAAAGAGAGAGAGAGAGAGAGAGAGAGAGAGAGAGAGAGAGAGAGAGAGAGAGAGAGAGAGAGAGAGAGAGAGAGAGAAACTTAGAAGAGAGAAGAGACGAGAAGCCCCAAGAACCTCACCTAATGAAGCCCATCCGAATGGACTTCTCCGAGAAGGCAAAGGTCATGTCTGCCTCGACGTCTTCCATGGTCTTCGGGATCAGAGAACTATAAAAGAATACACAACGGAAAATTAGGTTAGAATGTGCACAGAGAAACCGCTGAATAAACACGATAAGAGAATAAATAAAATGCGATAGGGTGGAGGAAGAGGGGGGGGAGGGGAGGTCGTGATGGTAATGATGTAAATAATGATATCAAAAGTGATGATTGCTATTGTTAATAACAATTATGAAAATATTACCGATGGTGATAATAATAACAATAACTGCAATCACTACATTCCATTGTTATGATTATAAAGATTATAATAATTATAACTATTATAACAATAGTTATGACTATTATAATAATTATCAACATTGTTATGACTGTTATTGCTATTACCATTATTGTCACTGTTATTATCATTATCATTACTATTATAGTGATTATCATTATCATTACTATTATCGTTATTATCATTATCATTACTATTATCGTTATTATCATTATCATAATCATTATTGATGTTATTATTGTTATTTTCATTACTATCATCAATATCATTATTACTATTATCATTGTCATTATTATCATCATCATCAGCAGAATCATTATTGTCATTTACATTATCATTATTGTTATTATCATCGTCATCATTATCATCATCATTATCATTATTATCATCAATGTGTGTGTTGTGTGTGTGTGTGTGTGTGTGTGTGTGTGTGTGTGTGTGTGTGTGTGTGTGTGTGCGTGTGTGTGTGTGTTTTCATCTATCTACCTATCTATCTCGATCGATCTATAAGAAGTACGTGTGTATATGCTCACCCTCACCCTAAGATAACCGATTCCCATGTAGACTAAATGTGAACAACAACAATAACAGTACAACAACAGTAAATGATAAAAAAAAAAAATACATGTCAAATGAGATAACTTAATAATCATAATAATGATGGTACTGATATCAACGAGAATGGTAATATTCACAATAATGATAATAATAACAATGGTCACAATGTGATATTAATACCAATAACATAACCAAATTGATAAGAACATGAATAAACCATTGAGATAAAATAAAAAATATAACCGTCTGTCTAAAGGCCATGTTGTGCAAAGGATTCATTGTACGTAATCTCAACCGAATTATCTGCTATCAATCCCCCTGTTATTTCCTGTCTCTTGAGTAATCAGTCGGAGATAAAAGATAGCGTGACCAGTTGGAAAGGGCTAGAATATTTAACTATCGTTTTTTTTTTTTTTTTTTTTTTTAACTTTCGCAGTAAACGCTTAACCTCTGTTGATTTATTAATGAATGAATATATATATATATATATATATATATATATATATATATATATATATATATATATATATACATATATATATATATATATATACATATATATATTATGTATATATATATATATATATATTTTTTTTTTTTTTTTTTTTTTTTTTCTCAAACTTTCATTCGTGTTTCATTCGTGCAAAAAGTGTTTCAGAGGTAGGCCTATAATTTTTAATCGATGACTCAGCCACTTGTGTTATCGTGTTCTGCGCTGTGACCCGCCCTTTCGCATTTATTTCATCTATTTTTCGGTTCTATTTCTATTTTCCATTAAGAACAAATGAACAAACACACATTTTTTTTTGTCTGATTTGCGAAGCAGAGCCTCGCCCGGGCTATGCCCATGAAGGGAGCCCGTTCTAACAGACACATATATATAGACATTACCTGCAGATACTAATGGACTACTGCATCTCTCTCTCTCTATCTCTCTCTCCTGGATAAGCTTGAAATTAAACAAAATCATACATAAAAATAAACACAAAACTACCAACATGTTCTAACATATTGTTCATTCATTCCTGATTTTCACGTGACTGATAAAATTTGCTTATCATATCTGCCTTCCACTGCATATTCAACGATCTCTATTGTAAAAGTGTTCTCTATGATAACATATGAAGAAAAAAAAACTATGAACAACTGATAAATCTAGTGTACGAAAGCATCAAGCATGCCTCCCCCCCTCTCTTCTCTTCTCTCTCTCTTTTTCTTGGACTTGTTCTTCCCCAGACACATAAATAAAGTCCATTTGATCACCCTTCGACCTTAACTCCTTCACCCTTTTAAACAACCCGTATTTTACACTATACCCCATCAGCTTCCTGTAGTGCATGTTTAACTTCTACCTTCTTACACACTTTACCGTAATTATTAACTCGTTCCAGCCCTTTTCGCTGTAATATTTTGTCATAGTGTTAAATGACCTTTGATGTCTAGCTCTTCTCTCTCTCTCTCTCTCTCTCTCTCTCTCTCTCTCTCTCTCTCTCTCTCTCTCTCTCTCTCTCTCTCTCTCTCTCTCTCTCTCTCTCTCTCTCCACGAAATATACCAGACAGATCTTCGAGAACACAATTTCTACATCTCATATAAGGCACTTAACTTCGTAATATAAGACACGAGAAAAACGAAGACAAAGACCATTCGAAAAAAAAAATGAGATAATACTTTGTAGGCAAGAGGAAAATCAAAGAAATAAAGACAACACCAGAATGAACACTTCTAAAGAAAATAGTTTCCCAAACAATCTAACCATCACCAAACGCAGTAAAATCTTAGATATTAATCTTACCTGTTATTCCCTCAGCAACTTAAAAATCTGTTAAAGAAATCGAGGATCCCGTTCAGGCTGGCTTCGCAATGTCGACTGACTCGACCACTCGTTCTTGGAGAAATATGGGTGATTGGCGTTGTGTTTCGAGATAAAGGGAGTGCCAGAGATTAGATACAGAGCTGACGTTTAGGCTCAAAATGACTCACGTAGCAGGGAAAGGACGATGCAAAACGGTCTAACCATTTCGAATTTCGTGTGAATTGTATCACAGGTAAGGGTCGTTCTTCCGTGTTTGGAATTATGTATGTGTGTGTGTATATATATATATGTGTGTGTGTGTGTGTGTGTGTGTGTGTGTGTGTGTGTGTGTGTGTGTGTGTGTGCGTGTGTGTGTGTGCGTGTGCGTGTGCGTGTGCGTGCGCGTGTGCGTGTGTGTGAGTGTACGTGCATGTAAATATAAATGTACGAATATATAAATACATGAATATATAAGTACATGTACGAATATATAAATATATAAATGAGAGTATATATACATACACACACATACACATACACACACACATACACACACAGACTCACATATATATAAATGCATATATATACATAAATATGTATGTGTATAATTCATACTCATATATACATGTACACACACGCACACACACACACACACGTATATTTATATATAGATAGATAGATAGTAATATAAGCATGTGCTTGGGATGGGGGCAGCGCAGCAAGGTACCTGCCGTTTTACCTATAGAATTCTAGGTAAGTTTTTCCTGTGAATTTATTTAAAGTCCAACATAATATATCGTTTGTGTTTTCTTATCATTAAACCCAACCACCTAACTTCATTGTCCTTGGCGCTAGCGGTGATAGAAGTAACATATTTCAATAAACAGAAAATTAAGTATATAGATTTTAATTAAAGTATTCAACAAGCAACACGTGCATAGTTCCAGCATATCCTTGACCATATCGATTAAATATTCCAAAAGTAGGATATTGCAGAAACAAGTTTTAAAAAATATCTATATATCTATATTGCTGTTGTGACCAAGTTTTTCACGTCCAATCTGGTACAAGTATACTTCAAAACCTCTGAAATCTTTAACAATTCACTGGTCACCTCTTTTGCTATACAGCGCATTTTATTTCACGCTATTTAACACAATGAAAAGGAGACAGAGAAGATTGATGGCAAACTCAGTGAAATTAAAAACACACTCAAATCAACATAAATATAGGCCTATACGCATCGGCGTAGGGGTATTTAAAATTTAGGGGGGGGGGGGGGCTGTAAATTTTCTGCCCGAGTGAGAGGAAGAGAAATTTCACCTGCCTGAAAATTTGTGATGAATGCCACCAGTAGCGTAGATAGAGGGGGTCGGGGGAGGGGGGACCCACCTATAAGGTTAAACTGCCATTTTGTCGGAAACTTTCTGCACGTGTCGGAAAAATAACGATGGTTTTCTGTTTCGTTTAGTTCTAGTGGCCTTATGTTATATTCAAAATAATCAAAAATGAGAATTAGTGTCAAATTTTTGTCGGGATATCTTCATTTCTCGCTCTTTCTATGAATTTTCCTATCTACGCCCCTGTCCAAAATTGCCCGAATTCAACCAGCATTTACCCGACTGGGGGGGCTGCAGCCCCCTCCCCAGCCCCCCTGGCTCCTACGCCTATACGATTATTCACTCAGCTCTTTTATAGTAATTCAATCTAGAATTTGATCCTTGGTCATATTTCACTAAAGTAAAGCAGCTCGCCACACTAACAAATGTCCATGGCATATATCTATATGGAACATTCTAGAAACTTTCCATTGCGTTTTGCAAATTTCTGATCTAAATATGCCATTTTGTTCTCTTCGTCAATGAAAGATTCTTGAACCGCAGTGAAATTTCTCTCTTATAATTGCCAGAATCTTTTAACTCCTTTCCTAAAATTTCTTTGAAAAATCTCTCTCCAGGATTTTCTCCTACACAAATCAAATCGCCCACGATTAATAATAGTACAATACTCAAAGCTTTGAACCACGAATTTATAACGGTTTTTACGTTTATGAAATAAATGAGCTTACAGAGCTAAAAGTAAATATGTATCTGTATATATATACATCCATCCATACATACATATATGTGTATATATATATATATATATATATATATATATATATATATATATATATATATATATATATATATATATATATATATATATATATATATATATATATATATATATATATATATACACATTTCAGATTTCAGTACGTACATTTCAGAGATCTTTTCACACAGTTCACAAATAATATCTTTAACATGCAACAGTAACACAATCTGCCCATAGTTCAAAAAAGTCGAAAATTGTGCTTTTATTGCAGTTAGTATCCATAGTTGATATTATGTAATCCAACCAGAGGATCAACAGACGAAAGCATGGCTTTGACTGTCAATAATAGTAAAAGTGTATGACGTAGTGAAATGTACAGTTGAAAAGTTGATGGAGGACTGTGAGACAAGAGGGAAGTAAAGGAGAGGGAAAGGTGGAAGGGAAGGAAAGGGTTAGGGGAAGGTAGGGAGAAGGAGGAGATGCAGATGGGAAGGAAGGAAAGAGGGAAGATAAGGAGAGAATGAAGAGAAAGATGGAAGGAAAGCAAAGAGGGAGGGAAGGCTGGTGAAACGGAGGAGAAAGGTTTGGGAAGAATGGAGTGGAAGATAAAAGATGAGTGAAGAGAATAGGGAAGCAGGAGAGAGGTAGAAAAGGAAGTGGTAGGTGAAAGAATGGGGAAGAAAGGAGGGAAGGAGATGGGGGATACTTCATGTGACTTGAAAATAAAAAATAAAATAAAAAAGTTTATATATTGCAAAAGCGGTTTACACTGCAAAAGCAATGGTGTTATTTCCCTGCTGATTATGTCCAAACAAAACAAAGTGAATGCTATTCCCTTTAGCTTTTGCGGCCAAGACAAAAGTAGTTTTAAAATTCCTAGTTTCAGTGAGAAAACGGACATTTCAGCGTGAAAAAGTAACATTTTTCATTAATTTTGTCTCCTCCATGGTAGGTAATGATTGCTTTGATCTCGTATAATACTAGAATTGTTTTACATTATTTACACTAAAGGGATATATATATATACAAATTATTTCACATATACTTCCTTTCTTTTTTCAGAAACAGTGCTTAGTAATAATTCTCTCCCTCTCTCTCTCTCTTTCTCTCTCTTCCGTCTCCCTCTCTTTCCCTGACTCCATTTCTCTATCTCTCCCAATAGGTCAAATGATGGGCGTCTGCCTGACCGTCCTCGTGGTATTCGCCATCTTAGCAGGTATTTGATCCAACATGATCGTCAACATGGTGTACGCTTGCCTCCTGATTTTACCTACATCCCCTACAGTTCCCGAATCCCTGGAATGTTGGAATCCAAAGACAGATTTCCTCAAACATGTCGCGTCTCCCTGCTCAGGATTTCGTCGATTCTTTAGTGCACCTATCTTGTTCCCTGTGACGTAGAAGGAATTCTGGGTATCCACGGTCCCTATGACTTAAAAAATAACCAAGAATATATCATTTGTTATTGATAAAGCTTCACATAGCCGTAGCAACCTTTGATGGCCCTAGAAGCAACTCAGATGGGCAAAGGAAATACATGCACAAAAAACGAATGTATTTTTCTGAGTAACAATAAAAAGTAAAGATACTGTCGCAGATGTATTTCATCTTATCACAATTCTGATGTTATCGCCGATATTACAAGTTCCCTTCCTGCCAATTGTATACCCCAGTATGCAGTTGGCAGGAAGCATAGGGACTTGTTGCAAAGGGCAAGACACGACTCCAAGGCACTTGACAGCGTCCAAGTTTCGATTCCATACTAGCAGTATCAAGGCCTAGAAGACATGTAGCTTAGTCCTTTTGCATAGGTAGTCTCCCCAAATGCTCTTGTTAATCGAGTTTATGCTCCACAAACATGTATCGACCGAACGAGTTCCCTTAACAGGCCCCCTAAGTCCTGAATCTTAGTCCAGGAAACCTCTGGGCACAAAGGCTTCACTTCATTGCTAGATGCAACAAAAGCCGCCACCAGTGATTCCAGAGATTCAGATAGGATAGCAACATCGTCGACAAAATCGAGGTCTGTGACCTTGATATTGCCCAATGATGCTCCGCACTGACTTTAGATAGTAACTCTGTCCGTTATTCAATCCTTACAAGTGTTGAAAAGTATTGATGCAAGGACATAGTCTTGCCTCACGCCTGAGTTAACAGGCCCCCACCACACTTTATGGCATCACTTTTAATGCCAGTATATAGGCTCGCTATCAGGCCAATAATATGTGTCGGAATTCCTCTAAGTCTCAAGATCTCCCATAGCGATTCTCCGAGTCAGACACCTTCTTGGGGTCGATGTAGGCTGCAAACAGCCCACAACCAAACTCACGACGACATTCCACAATTACTCGAAGCGCTAGGATACGGTCTATTGTGGACTTGCCAGGAGTGAATCCAGACTCCGGTCTCTGGTGCCTAAGTAGGTGGTCATGGAAATCTTGCCTGGTATAATGAAAAACCTTGACTGGTATGTTGAAAAGTGTGATGCCACGGTAGTTGCTAGAATCCCCTTTCCCCGTCTAGAGAGGGATGACCACGCCCCTCAACAGGTCATGGGGAATGAAACCAGACTGCCAAATGGCAGTCAATACCGTATGCAAGCCCCGTCCCATGGGTTCACCCCCAGCCTTTAGCAGTTCAGCAGGGATATCACATATGTCTGCAGCTCTCCCACCCTTCAGCTTAGAGATCACCTCACTATCCTCAATTAGGGATCGGAGGGTTCGCGCTTATGGGTGAGTCAGGCACGGGTACTGCGATGCCACTTGCATCCAGACTATCTGCTGGAGTGTCTACCTGGTATTACTGTCATTATTATCGGCAATAGTGCTGATAATAATAATTATAATGTCTGCTAGAGTTCGATTTACTTTAGTGCCATAAAAGTCTTTAAGTAATTCATGGTTTATAAATATTTAAAAAAAGACAGGAAAAAGGAGAAATGATAATATAATATATGTAAATAAAAGTGCACATATAAATGAAAGCTATTTGTATAACTACTGCATGCCAAGATCATCCGTAAAACTTAATCTTGCTGTCCTAGAGATTG